GGCGGCGGCGAGGCCGCGGCTGCCAGAGACCATGGTCGCGGCCGGGGCTGCGGTCATCCGCCAATGACACTCGCAGGCCCCCGCGCCCGGACGGACCGCGGCGGAGGGGGTGGCCAGAGCAGAAGCTGAACGGATTTCCCTCCGCTGAGCTTCCATTTGGATTCCTCGCCAAAGAGTGGGAGTCGCGCGTAAATCGCGAGACGTATCTTGTTGGGGAGGCCGATGACAACTCCGTTCTTCCCCCGAATATGCGGGTTTGATGGTCAGTAATTCTACCGGCAGCTCGCAGGATGCCCCCGGGGAGGGGGCCTGGAGAGAGACCGGCCGGCGCGCGGCATTGTGGGAAATGTAGTTCGATGGCCGCGGCCGGGTTGTCGTTTAAAGAGCGGGGGGCGAGGGGGAAAGAGGAATCCGGGGAGCTGGAGCGCGGAGGCGAGGACCAAGAGCGGTGCCAGAACCCCCGCGTCCCGGGCCACCTCCTGCACCTCCGTGCTCCTTGTCTGGCTGCGAGGACCCGAAAGGATCGCCGCTCGGGATGGGGACCTTGAACTCCCACGCTGGTGGCCGGCGGAGGGAAGGACCGGACGGGAAAAGCCAGATGCGGGGTACCTGGCTGGATCTCTCGGAATGTGGATCTCGGGGTTGGACAGACTCCCGTACGGCCTTTGCCCAGCTCTGCGTGTCTGAGTGTCTGTCCCCCCGGGGGCCCTAAGGACTGAGATGCGATGTCCGATGTGACTTGGCTCCTGGTTCGGCAGGAACTTCTCAGGGTCCCAGGCTCGAAAAGTGGAAAGTGCGCTGTCTCTCTACCCAAAACATCGAGGTTCCTCATCACGATCGCCAGCACAATTATAGTCCGAGTTTACTGAGTCGTCGTCAGCGGCCTCGAGATGGCGGGAAGGTGGAGTGGGGTGGCCCGAGGAGGTAGCCCCGTCTTTCCTTTACGACTTTACGACGCAGATCTTAGCTCTTCTCGGTTTGGACTTGACCGCAGACAGACTCCTCCCTCCTCTCGTGGATCATGTCCTTGTGATCATTGTTTCCAGATATGCCCAGGATGACCATACTGGACATGTTTACATTTTTATGGAAAACGAGTGGCAAGATTCTTTGCTATTTTAAAGAGCAAAATTCCTCCTGAGACTTAACTTTGAGAATAGTTTTACTGTTTCATTTTATTGGTAAAACGGACGATTACAAAAAGAAATATATAATATATATATGGTAAAACATATTGGTAAAACACACGATTACAAAAAAATATATATATACATATATATGGTAAAACACACAAGAACAAAAACAACACATATATATACCATATATATATATATATATATATGATTACAGTATGATTTTAATGAATTTTCACTTCCATGAAGACAGGGATTTTCATTTGTTTTGTACACTGATGTTATCCCCGGCACCTAGAACAATGCTTGGCCCAAAGAGAACTCATTGTTGAACCAAACTGATGTACAGGAGAAATAGTAGGATATACATTATTTATTGAATCCACAAACAGTGTTTGATGGGCTTACACATATTATAATAACTACATCCCGCCGGGCTCGGGGTTCAGCCTGTCATCCCAGCACTTTGGGAGGCCGACACAAGGGGATTGCCTGAGCCTAAGGGTTCAAGACCAGTCCCAGCAACTTGGCGAGACCTTGTCTCCACGATAAATTTCTTTAAAAATTAGCTGGGTATGGTAGCACGCACCTGTAGTTCCAGCTACTTGGAAGGCTGAGGTGGAAGGATCACAGGAGCCTAGTGGGTCAACACTATGAGTGTGCCATTGCCCTCCAGCTTGGGCGATGGAATGAGACTCCAACTCATTAATTAAAAACAAAAAACAAAAAAAACTACATACCCACCCCAATTGTGTAGTTCATAGGTAGGGGACAATTGCACTAGATAAAAACTATACCACTCATCCTTATATGCAGATTGAGTTTGGGAGTCAGATCTGGATTCAGATTTCAACTCTGCCACCGTCTACATGGGTTTCAGGTTTGCTCACCGAGATGGAAATGAATCTCCCCTAATCGCCTAAGAGTGCTGTGAGCAGTTAATACATTTAGTATAGAAAGCTCTTGGTACCTTGTAGCAAGCATTTGATAAATGGTAGTATCATTATGATCATTAAAGAGATGAGCTTTCTTTTTTACGTGGCAGGATGATGTTTTGAAGGTTTTAACTGATGTAACCAGGTGTAGAATAAGATAAATATTTCTATTTGGCTCAAAACTTTTGCTAAAGTCTTACAGCTGAGGGCAAGAGGTCAACATCCTAAGGAGGGCAGTTAGGAATTGGTAAGAAGTAGACAAACCTGTCTTCAGATTCTCATGACACCCCAGCCCGCTCAGATAAGTAAAATCCAGGAATTCATTGAATGGGGGGATTGATTCTTCTGAGTCTTGAGTTGTCAGCTCACTGTTCCCCTCTCCTTCCACCCCCAGCCAATCTGGTGCAGGAAAGCTCCATGCCAAAAGAATACCAACATTGAATGCCAGCCTAAATCCGCAGAACTGCAGAAACTAATCAGTCCATCTCAGGACCCTGGAATAGGTCTTGGCCCAAGAATGGGCAGGAAAACTTGAGTTTGGAAGGCAGACCTGATGGTAGAGACTTAAGTCTGCCTCCTGCCTGGAGAATTGTAAATTTCCCTCATTGGCGGGCAAGGCAGTATTTGATGCAGCAAGATGTGCAACATTCCCGTGAGTTAAGTGGATGCCAAAAAAAGAAAACAGCTTTCCCCCTAAGAAGACTATCCTCTGGGGCCAGGAACCCTGGCATAAAAGGCCATTGGAAACTTCTAGGGAGAGGAGGAGGGGAGCAGTTACAAGAGTTCTGCCCAAGGGCACATAACTCATGTCAGGTGCAGAGGAGAGACAGAGAAGCTTCTGAGAAATCCATGAAGTGCCATAAAGAGCCAGCATTGCAGAGAGAGTGGGCCATCAGGAAAGAACCACACATAGCACCAGCGCCATCTAAGAGAGTTCAAACCTCACACCACCCCTGCAAGATCCTAGGTGTTGAGAGGAGTGAGATAGGAAGGAGAAGAAAACAGACCTTGATCTCTTCCCAGCTACAGATTGTGGAACTACCAATCATGCCAGAAAGAGGGAAGGAACTTTAAGTTAGGTGTAAAGTTGAAGTTTTTTTAATTGAATTGGATGGAATTTTTCTTTTTTTTTTTCTTAGAGACAGGGTCTCACTGGAGAGCAATAGTGCTGTAGCCTCTAACTCCTAGGTTCAAGCAATCCTCCCAGCTCAACTTCCTAAGTAGTTGAGACTACAGGTTCACACCACCACACCCAATTAATTTTTTTTTAAGTTTTTTGTAAAGACAGGATCTTGCTGTGTTGCCCAGGCTGATCTTGAACTCCTGACCTCAATATATCCTTCCGCCTCTGCCTTACAAGCGCTGGGATTGTAAGTGTGAGCCACTACACCCTGCCAGAACATTTAATTATTGATTTTTGAAATAGGTAATGTATTCCCATGGACCAAAATTCAAAAGGTACAATAAATGTAGTGAGAAGTCTTTTTTCCACCTGTCTTTCCACCACTCAGTTCTCCCTAGAGGAAACCAATATGACCTAATTTCTTGTGTGTCCTTCCAGAACTATTTTGTATACTCTGAGCTACTTTGTATTTTGTGTACATATTCAAACATATACATCTGTCCTCCCTACGTCCTCCCTATGTCACCCTACATCACCCTTCTATGTTCTCACTAACGTGGGAGTAAGCAGGGACAATTAGCTTATATTGTGGGGGGGGGGGGTCAGGAGATTAGCAGCCAAAGCAGCTGGCATGTCCGTGGTCGCAGCCCAAGGAGCAGCATCCTTCTCTAAGTAAGTTAACCTAAAGTGAACTCTGCTCTTCACAACCAAGAATCTTGAAGCCCTGAGCTAGTAATTAGGTTCAATATGTTGGAGCAAAGTCTCTCATTCACGTTGCTTTTAAGTAAATAACTCAGTTGTAGTCGCTGATGTGTGTAATCCAGTCAGACCAGAAATGAGAAGAGTAAAACAGGAATCTGGTGGGTTTTCTTCCTGATCAAAAAATGTCGGTTCTTTATATATAAAAGCAATTCTAGTTCTGTATTATACCTTGGTGTTAATATGAGCCCCCATTCTGCTGGGATTTCAGATCCTTTTCGTGTCACGGAGATCTGTCTAAAGTCCTGGAGAAGTGCTAGGGTGAGGTGAGGCAGTGTGAGGAGCATTTGGTCTCCTGTCCATGCTGGCATCTCCTGATGTGTACACCCATCCATCTGGTCCTCAGCTGTTGATTCAAGCTACTGGCTGCATCGTCACTTCTACTTGTAAGGCCCCTTTTGCTGTGGCTGTGTCAGCTCTCTCTGGGCTCCTCTCAGGCACATGAGAATGTTTCAGCCTCTCGGGGCCGCAGGAAACATCCCTGCTTGCCAAGACATATCATTTAGCTGCATCTTGCCACCAGTCTTCGAATATGGGGAGAGGAAATTATGTTTGGAATCCTTTTCTTCCTCATTCCCCCTCCCCCTTTCCCTCCTCTCATCTCCCCTTCTTCCTCTCCCTGTCTCTCCTACAAGTCTCTGCTTCATGCACCCTTCCAATCTGTCTGGTGATGCTTTTGAGCACTCATCTTTCTTCATCTTCTTTTTTTTTTTTTTTTTGGTAGAGACAGGGTCTGTGTTGCCCAGGCTGGTCTTGAACTCCTGGCCTCGATAGATCCTTCCACCTCTGCCTTACAAAGTGCTGGGATAAGAGGCACCGGCATCAACACCTAAGCTCCCCTGGCCTCCGCTCTTCTTCCCTGTCCTGAGGACCCTGTTCTGATTTTGGAGACATTAACTCACACTTTTTGGTCCTAAATCTAAGTTCTTGCTGCCCTCGGGCCTTTGAGGTACACATTCTTCTCCCGGACTAAGAATACCTAGCAGAAATCGGTGGGGGAAAGGAAGGTAATATTTACCAAGAGAGGGTCAAAGAATAGAAGAAAATATGGGAAGTATCACAAAGTATCTTGCTGCTCTAAGCTGGATGTACTAAGGTTTTGTGTGTATTCACCCAGGTAGGCTGACTCTGCCACGTGGAAATGGAACAAAAAGAACCCTCTCTAGGCCAGCTTCATTCTGAAATAAATAAATCTACTTGGCCAGGTGGTGGCTAAGGCTCACGCTTGTATCCCTGCACTTGGGGGTGGGGGCAGGGAGATGACTTGAGGCCAGAAGGTCGAGGCTGCCATGAGTCAAGACAGTGCCACTGCCCTCCAGCCTGGACAACAGCCAAAAATAAAATAAATAAACCTACCACCTAGAAGAAAAAGCAGCTGTTTCATTCCCAGGGATACAAGCATACTTAAAGAGAAACATATTGTAACCAAGAGAAGCCTGGGCATAATGAACCAGCCTAAACCTTCAGGCCACACTGTAGGTGGCACTAATCCCTTCCTAAAACAAACGGAGAGACTAGAGAGTTTGTATCCTAGGCCTTATTTATGGAAGATGGTACAGCACAAGACAGAAACACTTCACCCCAGACAAAGCTCCAGCTTTTATAGAACTAGAAAGAAAGTTAAGTCAGAGTCCAGGGATTATCTTCATCTGAAGTGCAGCCTTAAAGAGAGACAGGATCACACGGCACGATTCTAAGAACCAACTAACATCACTGGCTGATTTGAACAGAGGCAAACCCTCCCTCTCCCCTGACAAGGACTGGCACTGCTAGTTCAGTTGCCTTTACTATAGAATGAAGAGCAGGAACTTTCTATCATTTGCCTACAGGGCCCTCCTGAAAGCCAAAGACAGTCTATTGCATGATTATCCACTCAGTTCCT